ACCCCCGGCGAAAGAGGGGACAAGAGGCTCCACAGAAAAGATTAGGGCTGGGTGGGAAGGATGGGGCGGCCGCACGGTGGGCAGGGATGGATGCTCCGTGCCGCGGGCTCAGGCCTCAGCCCCACGAAGAGTTTCCTTTTTCTCTCTCTTATCCTTGTCGCGCATCCAGGCCGCCCATTTCGGGATCTCCCACGAGCAGACGGCAGCAAAGAGCCCCGAATGCGGCTCTCCCCGCCCGGCGTCCTCTCTGCCTGCAGAACTTCATGGATTCCATCGCCCTCCGTGCTTCCTTCAGGCCTGTGCTCATTCGGTTATGGTGGTGAGAGCGCAGGTGAGGAGGATTAATTACTCATAACGGCCTCCTCGGCTGTGGCATGTGCAGCGGTGCTCGGCATGGAGCAGTCGTGTCCCCTTAGTTGCCGTGGGGAGCTGCTCCAGAGCCGGGCCGACATGCTCCAGGAGTCGGTGAATGACAGGATGTGAACTCAGGACAATAAACGATGTGCAAGGAACCCGTGAACCATCCAGATTGGATATTTGGAAAAAAAGTCTTCAGTGAAATGCCTGCAAAGCACTGGAGTGGGCTGCCCGGGAAAGGGGTTGAGTCACCATCCAGCACCTCAATGTCTTTCTAGTGGTGAGGGACCCAAAACTGAACACAGGATTCGAGGTGGGGCCTCACCACGGCTGAGTACAGGGGGACGATCACTGCCCTCGTCCTGCTGGCCACACTAGTGCTGATCCAAGCCAGGATGCGCTTGGCCACCTGGGCACACTGCTGTGTGACACATCTCAGTATCTACAGCGGCCCACAGGTGCCCCTTTGGACCCTTGAAGCATCTTTACTTCCTTCAAACTTCCTACTTTCAAGTCACTGCCAGAGACACGGAGTCTCCAGACCATTGACTTCTCCCACTTGGTTCCCCTTGGGCTCCCCTCAGCTCCCAACACACCAACTGGGATCCCCTCCACCACTCCAGGAATCCAGATGCGTCCTGTCCCCTTGTACCCCGCTATCACCGGGGTCGCTCTGCACTGGTGTCCACCAGGGCCTTCTATTTCCATGGGACTGATGTCCCAGGCCACCGAATCCGTTTGACCCCTTCCTCTGCCCGGCCCACGTCACAGACCACGTGCACTGGGGGCCATCCAGATCTCTGGAGGCCCAATTATTGTCCAGGTCGCTGTAGACCACCACGAATACTGTCAAGTACCAGACACCGTCCTCTCTGTAGACCACTTGCCTCGCTGGGTTACAAGATCTTGCTCAAGAGGCTGCTTTGCCTTCATGCTCAAGAAGAGCCACCTCCAGAGGCTGCGGGTAGCTGCCCCTCTTCTGCTCCATCAGTCCCACCGTCCCTAGCAATGGATCCCGGCTGCTGGGCTTCCCGACCTTCCAGTTCCAGCCTGTTAGCCCCTCCAGCCCAGCACGGGAGCAACCAGGGAGCACATGTCTTGACCTGCCTGATGGAAGAAACCGTTCCCCGCATCTCGCAGCCTGGTCAGGGATAGGGACCAGGTCATCTCTGCCTCTGCCCCCTCTCAAGAAGAGCTGCTTCTCCTGTTGATCCACTTCCACTGTCTCTCCTTGACTACAAGAGCAACTATTTTAGTTCCGAGTTGAGCTCCTGGTTCAGTCACAGTGACTGTTCGCGTGACCTCAGACCAGAAGATGTTTGTCTCAGCGCCCGTCTGCACGGCCTCAGGGCAGGAGACCTTCTTCAAAGTGCCCCTTTATGCAGCCTCCTATCAGGAGACCTTCCTCTTGGGGTTTGTGTGGCCTCAGAGCAAGAGACCTTCTCAGTGCCATTTGCATCCCTGTGGATCAGGAGAGCTTCTTCTCAGCTCCTACGTGGTGTCAGAGCTCACCACCTCCACCGCAGGGACGAGGCTGCCCAGCCACGTCCCAAAGAAAAGCTGGCCAGTCACCTTCAACACATTCTTCTCCCTTTTTTGTCGTCAAGTACAACACGATACCACCTGGAGTACCTCCCGTTAGTTTGGGTCATCTGCCTGGTTGTGTCCCCTCTCTTTTGCCCCGTGTCCCTTATGCCCAAAGTGCCTCCACCCGCTCTCCCTTGTGCCCAGCGTTGCTTGTGCCCAACACCGCTAGTACTCGGTGTCCCTTGCCCATGCCATTGCTTGTGCCCAGTCTCTCTTGTGCCTGGCAACACTTGTGCCCAGCACTGCTTGTGCTCAGTGTCCCTCACGACCAGCATTGCTTGTGCCCTCCACCCCTTGCACCCCACATCCCTTGTGTCCCTCAAGCCTGGCACTGCTTTTCTCTGGCCCTGCCTGTACCCAGTGTCCCCCATGCCTGGCATCACTGGTGCCTGGCAGCTCTTGTGCCCAGCAGTGCTCCTATCCAGCATCTCTTGTGCCCGGTGCACGTTGTCGCTCATGCCCAGATATCACTCATGCCCCGTCCACGATGTCCCTCCTGCCCAGCATCGCTTTTGCCCGGCACTGCCTCTGCCTAGTGTCCATCGTGTCCAGCACTGCTTGTGCCCAACGCCTCTCATGCCCAATGTCTCTTGTGCCTGGCAGCACTTGTGCCCAGTAGCGCTTGTGCCTGGTGTCACTCATGCCTGGCAGTTCCTGTGCCTGGTGTTGCTCCTGCCTGGCATCGCGCATGCCTGGTGCACGATGTCACCCATGGCTGGACGTCACTTGTGCCCTCTGCGTGACTGTCGTCGTTTAATCCCAGCCAGCATCTGAGCCCCATGCAGCCCTGTGTTACCAACACCGTTTCCAGCACAAATCCAAAACACAGCCCTGTACCAGCCACTGGGAAGAAAATTAACTCTACCCCAGCCAGAACCAGCACAATGACATCCCTCATGCCTGGCATTGCTTGTACTCAGTGTCCCTCGTGCTCGGCATCGCCTGTGCCTGGCATCGATAGCACCCAGCGTCCACTGTACCCAACACCACTTGTGTCCAGTGTCCCTCATGTATGGTATCTCTTTCACCAGCCATCACTTGTGCCCAGCACTGTCTGTACCCGGTGTCCTTTGTGCCTGGCATCGCTTGTGCCCAGCACGTCCTGTGCCCTGGATCCCTCATGCCTGGCATCCCTCGTGCCCTCCATCGCTTGCACATACTGTCCCTTGTGCCCAACACTGCCTGTATGCAGTATACCTCATATCTGGCATTACTTGTGCCTGACATCAATTGTGCCCAGTGTCCTTCGTGCCTGGCATCGCTTGTGCCTGGCACTGCCTGTGCCCAGTGTGCCTTGTGCCTGGCACTGCTTGTGACCAGTAATGCCTGTGCCCGGCGTCCCTCATGCCTGGCATTGCTTGTGCCCAGCACCACTTCTGCCCGGTGTCCCTTGTGCCCATCACGTCCTGTGCCCTGGATCCCTCATGCCTGGCATCCCTTGTGCCCTCCATTGCTTGCAAACACTGCCTCTTATGCCCAGCGCTGCCTGTGCCTGGTGTCCCTCATGACTGACATCAATTGTACCCAGCACCCTTTGTGCCCACCATTCTTGTGCCCGGCGCTGTCCTTGCCTGGTATCCCCCATGTCCGGTGTCCCCCATGTCCAGTGTCCCTCATGCCTGGCACCTTTTGTGCCTGGCAGCGCTCCTGTCTGGCATCTCACGTGCCCGGTTCACATTGTCACTTGTGCCTGGATATCACTCGTGCCCCATGCACAGTGTCCCTCGTGCCCGGCACTGCTTGTGCACAGTGCCACTTATGCTCAGTGTCCCTCATGCTCAGCGGTGCCTGTGCCTGGCACTGATTGTGCCCGGTGTCCTTTGTACCCAACATCACTTGTGCCCTGCACTGCTTGTGCCCAGTGTCCCTTGTGCAATCATTGCCTGTGCCCGGTCCCCCTTGTGCCCGGCATTGTTTTTGCCCGGTACTGCTTGTACTCAGTGTCTCTTGTGCCCTGCTTCACTTGTGCCTGGTGTCCTTTATGACCAGCATCACTCACGCCTGGCAGTGCTCCTACGCAGCATCTCACACGCCCAGTGCATATTGTCACTTGTGCCCGGATATCACTCATGACCTACTCACATTGTCACTCGTGCCTGGTATCGCTCACACATGTCATTGCTTGTGCCCGGTGCACGACATTGCACGTGCCCACCGTTGCTTGTGTCCAGCATCTCTTGTGCCCAGCAGTGCCTGTGACCCAGCATCCCTCATGCCCGGTCCACAATGTCCATTGTGCCCGGTCCTGCTGGGACCACTTCTACCCCGCAGCTCTTCCCCTCAGTGGGACAACGCGGGAGCCCCCGTACGACACCACCCCATCACCACGGAGCATCTTTATTGTTGGCACTGCAGTGTCACCCCCGGGGTGACAGGGATGCAGAGGAGCCATCGGAGCCGGGAGATCACCATCCTGAGGGTCCTCAGATGCTGCCTGGTGGGGACATAGGGTGGCAGAAGGGGTGACGTGCCCCTTGGGGACAGGGGATGGGGACAGGCTGGATGTGCCATTACCTGCAGGGTAGTTGTCTCCAGGGAGAGGAGTGTAACCTGCAAGAGGGAGTAGAGGGGGTGAGGAGGGTCCGTGTCACCCCAGGCCACCGTCATTGTCCCCCCCGCAGGTCACCGTCCCTGTCCCTGTCCCACCCCGAGCGCTCACCCAGTGCCGCTGGCCTGGCCCGGTAGTGGTAGACACCGGCGATGAAGAACCCGAGCCCCAACGCCATCATCACGGTGGCCGCGGCCACCTTCAACGTCAACCCTGGGGACAAACCAGGACCTGTGGGGACACAGTGGGGGTGAGCAATGACGTGGCGAAGACCCAGATGTCCAAGTGGGTGTCTTCCCCTGTCCCCAACTCACCCCAGTCCTCCAGGAGGGGTTGGTCCAGGCTGGCGTGTTGCACCGAGCACGTGAAGGTGTCCCCGGCCACCGGGGCCACCATCAAGGTCACCTGTGTCTGGTAGGTCCAGTCACCATTGGGGATGGCGGAGATGGGGGGGGGGTCACCAGGCCCCACGATGTCCCCGTTGTGCAGCCAGATGACGGTCACCTCGGGGGGGTAGAAGCCCCAGACGTGGCAGGTGAGGAGGACGGATGCCCGAGTGTTGGCCATCTTGGAGGCGATGATGCGGGCTTGGGGTGGTGCTGCGGTGGGGACGGGGGACGGTCAGGGTCGGGGTGAGTCCCCTCCTCACCCCGGGTGACGTCCCCATGCGATGTCCCACCCGCAATGCTCCGTGCGACGCGCTGTGCAAGCTCTGGGCATTGCTCCGTGCCATGACCCCCATGCAATGCCCGGTGCGATGCTGCATGCAACGGCCCTGTGCAATGTCTCCGTGCAACATCCCCTGCAACGTTCCCCTGCAACATCCCCATGCGATGTACCTATGCAACGTGCCCAGGCAACGGGCCCACGCGACATCCCCGTGCAACATCCCCATTCAAGGTCCCCGTGCAACGTTCCCATGCAACGTTCCTCTAAAATGACCCCATGCAACGTTCCCATGCAATGTTCCTGTGCAATGACCCCATGCAACGTTCCCATGCAACATCACCATGCAACATCCCCATGGAATGTCCCCATGCAACATCCCCATGCAACATCCCTGTGGAATCCCATCCCTCCATCCATCCACTTCCATCTCCCTCCCTTCCCATTCATTCCCATCCCTCCGTCCGTTCCCCAGCTGACTCCATCCGTTCTCCTCCCTCCACCCAACCCCAGCCCTGCATCCACCTTCATCCTTTCATCCATCTCCATCCACCGTGCAACATCCCCGTGCAACGTCCCCATGCAACATCCCCATGCAACGTCCCCATGCAACATGCAATACAATATCCCTGTGCAATGCCCCGTGAGATGTCCCATGCAACATCCCCGTGCAACGTGCAATCGGGGTCATAGCACACCAGCGGGTTCTTGTTGAAGACGAGAGTGAAGTCAAAATCCAGCACGGAGCCGTTGGCCGCCAGTGGGCAGGAGCTGGCCACGTGCACCAGGAAGGCACCTGAGAGGGGCACATGGGGGTAGGTGGCATCTCCTGGGATGCCTCTGTCTGTCCCCATGTTTCTATCCGTGTCCATCTGTTCCCATCCCTCCATCCATCCACATCCATCTCCCTCCATTCCCATTCATTCCCATCCCTCCGTCCGTTCCCCAGCTGACTCCATCCGTTCTCCTCCCTCCACCCAACCCCAGCCCTGCATCCACCTTCATCCTTTCATCCATCTCCATCCAAGCCCATCCATCCATCCATCCATCCATCCATCCATCCATCCACCATCTCCATCTCTTCATCTAGTAGATCTACTGTCCTCATCCATCCATCCATGCCCATCTCTGCTTCCCTCCATCCATCCCCAACCATCCCTATCCCTCCATCACTCCCTGTGCCTCCATCCAACCCTACACCACAATCCATGTCCCTCTCCCCATCCCTCTCCTCATCTCCATCTCCCCATCCCTCCATCCATCCCCATCCCTCCCCATCCGTCTCTCTCCACCCCATCCATCCCGTTGCCCCCACCTGCCCTTCATATCCTGCCCACACCATGTTTCCCCCAACTTGGCTCAAACTCCAACCCCCGCAAAGTGTCCCAGTGTCCCCAATCAACCAAGACGTGAGCACCCCCCTAAGCCATCCCCACGGGGTCACCCAGCAGCCTTGGAACAGAGACAGGGACACCCCCCCTAAACTACGTCCAGGGCCAAAACACCCCCAAACTCTTCCTGCTGTCCTATGGGGCTGAGAACACCAAGATCGTCCCTGGGGTCCTGCAGCACCCCCTAAAAATATTCCTGGGGTCCTGCAATTCTGAACACACACCCCCCCAACCACCCCCAGCATCCAGCAGGGATGAGACCTCCAGGGTGTCCTCCACAGGGTCCCGTGGGGCAGATCCCCCCCCAAATCATCCTCAGGATCCCGTGGGGCAGAGCCCCCCCAAACCATCCCTTGAGTCCCTCAGGGTTGAGGCTCCCCCCAAACAGTCCCCAACACCCCATAGGGCTGAGCCCCCCAGATAATCCTCGGGGTCCCAGGGGGCAGAGCCCCCCCAAACCATCCCCAGGGTCCCACATCATCTCCATCTCCATCTCCATCTCCATCTCCATCCCTCCATCCATCTCCATCTCCCCATCCATCCCCATCCCTCCCTCCATCTCCGTGCCCCCACATGTCCCCTTTTTCCCCCCCAACCCCTCCTCACTATGTTCTCCTCACACTCAGCCCCAACCCCCCTCCAAAGTGTCCCGAGGTCCCCATGGGGTCACCCCACAGCTATGGGGCTGAGCACTCCCAAACCATCCCCATGGGGTCACCAAAAACCATGAGGTGAGCCCTGCTCCCCCCCCCAAAACCATCCCCATGGGGCCACCCAGCAGCTATAGGACAGAGACACCACCCCCCCCCAAAACAACC